AAAAAATTTCAGGTGCTCTGGAAAAATTTATTTTTTCTCAAAAAACCCTTTCCTTGACCCAACAAATTCAATTCAAAATTTTGAAATACTAACTTCAGATTCGGATTCCCCAGCTTCGATTACCCTTTGGTTAAGTTTTATGCACAGTCGGATGTTTTTTTGACCCGAATGTTTTTTTTACCCTGACACAAACAAACAAACACACACACACAAACTATTGTTTTTCATATGACCCTCCCTACAGTCGAGGAAACAATGGTCTTTCTATAGAATCCGGACAGCGTGCTCCTTGGAAATTCTCTACCCCAGCATTGTCTTCTTTACATTTCATGTTCATCTTGAAGGGCTCGGAAAGCTCGATCTGAATACGAAATATCATGATGGTATCAGCAGCGATACTCAAGATTGTGTCGACCATACTATTCCAACAAAGAGTTTTCCTGTAAAACCTGGACAGAGTGGTCCTTCGAAATTTTCGGGCACAGAATATTTTACTTAACAACTTGTGATCATTTTGTAGCTTTTGAAAAGTTCAATCTGCATAGATAAAATAACGGTAGTAGCAGGAGCTATACTCAAGCTTGTAATCACCATACTATGCCAACAATGAGTTATTCTGTAGAATCTGAACAGTGTGATCCTTGGAAATTTTCGAGCACAGCATATTTCCCTTAGTAATTGGTGATGATTTTGTAGCTCTTAAGAAGCTATATCTCCCCGAAGAATATAAGTTTCACTTGGAAAACTAACGCAGTTACCCGGTGAGGGGAATTCTGATATTGAAAATGGTTCTGCCGTATGTAGAAATGTTGAGAAGAGGTCTCGAGACGTGGTCTGAAAAAGATCCAGATGATTTATTATTACTTAAAAAGAAGATGAAATTTAGATCTATAAAGTGTTCTAAGATGATTCTTATTTAGAGCCGTTGTAGACGCAAACCTGCACCCCTCTTTTTTGAACGTTTTTGATCTATAGCGTTTCTTTTATCCCAGACATGAATCATCGAAATAAGATAAACTTGTAGCCTATGCTGTTTCCTATCTAATGATACGTACCCGATCTGAAACGGTCAAACCACTCATGAGAAAACATAAAAATACTGACTATACCCAATTTTAGCAACTTTTTAGGCTCAATTTTGACCTCCATAAGCTTGTTTAAGTCGGCACTTTTCATAGGTAAAACCAAATGGTCTAATATTTTCGATTTAACTATAGTTTACCTATGCCTATCATTTAAGAAAATAGAATCGAAAAAAATTCGTTTTCCACGGCGACCTAGAGTGGTCCTCTCATGGACTCTCTCTTAAGTCAATTTCCTATTCTAGTCTGTAACCTGTTTTTCCTTTAGAAATCATAACAAGATCTGTTAGGATCCTGAATGTGAAGATTCTTCCCTAGTCTCAATCCTGTTCATTCCTTGAGAAACCCTGAAAGGATCTGTCAGGATCCTGAATCTCAAGGATCCTGCTAAGTTTTATTCAGGATCCTGTCTCAAATCCTAGAAATTCCTGTTTCCAGGATTTGTCGAGGTGAAACAAGATCCTGTTTAGGATTTTTTCAAGTTCCTGCTCAGATATTTTTCTGAGTCGAGATTTCAGGTTCCTATCAGGATTTTCTCAGGATCGTATAGAGGATCCTCACAAGATTATGAGAGAGGATTTTGAAAAAAA